CAGAATTACAGTACATAGGTTACAAACTTTGTTTTGACTGATATCTGTGGGTTGTTACACTGCTCACCAATACATGCAATACTCTGCTGACCTAGGAATTCTGGGCGTGCAAGCACACCTTTTTTCTAGTGACATTAGTGGTTAATGTTTTTAGAAACTGATATTTTTTTACATATACATGTTCATTGGTATCACCTTGACTAGATTCATGTGATATGTCATGCTTATACATGACTGTACAGTATATAAGATATCTAATCCATCTTTCAGTTGACCATCAGAGCAGATGTACTCTTAGGCTATCTATGTGTATGAGATGATCTGAACAATTAGGAAAGGGATTTGTTTTATAGAAGAAAATTGGAATGGGTGTTCCTGAATAATTGCTGTTGTGTCCTTCAATAAGCCCTGGTCCCAGGGTGTCTGCTCAGTGCAAAGATATGTCACTTTGTCTAAATCAAACTACTATACTTAAATTTGTGCTGCATTCTGTGTGGTAGCAGAGCTTGCAGTGGCATTTACAGTGCGTGGGATTCATATAGTATTTGTATTAGATTGTGCATCTTTTGGGCCACTAAGAATCATTGGAATGAGTGTGACCAACTTGTACATATGTTTTTATAGGTCATTCTGTGTGCATGGAAATAATAAGGATTTTTGACAAACCAGATAGCTACAGTCAGTATTCAAAGTGACTGACTGTAGCTATAATTCACTAAATACCTCATTCCTAGATACACTTATGCACATATCTTTAAAGTGCAGCTGAGGCCAAAACCCTTTTTTGTTTTGTTTGGATAGACTGGAGAGGAATTAAAACAGTTGTTGGGTTTTTATTACTGTCAGTAATAGGGAGACTCACCCTCAATGTTTGTCCTGATGACTGTTTTCACTGAAAGTAAAAATGTAAGAAAATCTCAAATTGCTGGTTATCAGGACAGGACAGGAGTAGATGGGAAATCTTCTAATGGTGACACTAGTTCTGGTGGCCCTGCTGACCATCAGGCATTTCCCTCACTTTGGAGGATTTCCTCCTACTTCCTATTGTGGCTATCGGAGTGAAGGGAAATATCCCCAATGGGACACAGATAGCAAAAAACTGGCACGTGTTATAACCCTCCCTTACTCTATCTAAAACAAAACAAAACAAAAAAATGTTGCCCCAGTTCTACTCAATTCTGCACCAGTTCTACATTAATTATCTAATTTGATAATGTAGCGCTCACCCCAGAAGGAGCCGATGAATGCCCGGTTCATCTCTAGTCTGTCTAGGGTATGATCTTCAGCTGCCCACCCATTAGCATTAACCGCCCTTCTTCTGGTGCCCAGAATTGCTGATGCCCACTCCAGTAGTATAATGGAGAATAACTTTTATTGAACATCTTCACTTCGGAGAGAGGGTATAGGGATTCTAAGCTTCCTGGGTGTAACAGACATAAGCCCCAGACTCACCAAACCTGCTTGGCATATTGGTAGATCCACTTGGGAGGCAGCGGATAGCAACTAAACTAGCAAATGAGCACGGATGAATATAGATCATCAATAGGAAAGACACCGGCCATACTCCTGAAGCCCTTTGAGTTCCAGGATACTTCATGAGCCATCATTGGTCCTGGGTCTCTACCTCTCCAGCAACACAGGCCTCCTTTGATGTTGGAGGCCTCGGGGAAACCTTTCCCTCACACCAGCCTATGCCCACCCCCTGTACCCTATCCCAGCATGCACCGCTGGTTGAGAGGAACCCAGTGATTGGCTTCTGTACTGTACATACACTATAGCATCTCTCAGTGGCTGTCCCACATTATGACAGAGTCACACTCCACCCATGGTGGTACAGGCAATGCCAGACACCTGGAATTAACCAGATAACTGCACCCTATAATCCAGCCAAGCCGACTACAGCCCTGGCTATCACTAAATGTCTAGTAGCCACATCACAGAAGGTGATGGTGGCTACAATAATATGCAGTAACATTTTGCAACCTGCAAGTGTCAAACTTGCAAATAAAGGCTGCAGATTCCTTTCACCCCCTAAAGGAAATCTGTGCTTTGCTAATACAAGGCAAAGCAACATGTTCATTTAATCCCTCCCCCACCACAGCAGCACATTCTTACCTTTAATTTACACCCTCACTGCTCTGTTTGGCAATTGGCAGCGAATAAATAAATCTCTGTGCAAGCTACTAATCACTCTGAAGCTTTCACAGGGCTGGGGGCTATTTACCACCCACCCCCATGTCAAAGCACTGGGCCAATCACCAAATACTATCACTGTCACAAGATCAAAAGGAGAGTGAGTCACAAATGCCTCCACAACTCCACAACTGGTTGTACTGGGTAATTTTCTCCCAGTGGCTAATGGGGCAGCAGCGGCGGGAGTAAATTAAAGTTGAGTATGTGCTGCTAGGTAGATCTGTTAATTTGCCTTAAAGTAAACCAGTCATGAGTTATATATGTGAGCTGTAATTGCTGTTCTCATGCTAAGAAATTCTAGTTGCTTGGCTGCCATGGTGATCCCCTGTACAAACCTGTAGTTTTTATATTTAATTTGCTGCCTACTAGATCCAAGTCATTGACTTGGAAAACATCAAAGCCATAGGATCAACATAACAGCCAGGTAGCTAGAATTTTTAGGAGGTCAACAGTGGCAATTGACAGTTCTCTCATGACAGGTTTTTAAAAACAATGTTTTTGGAAGCACTCTTTCATGCATAATAAAACAGTAAAAAGTATTATCTTATTAAAACAATTAATACAATGAGAGAAGTAAATTGTATATAATGAATCATAAAGCACACTTACATCTAAGTTTCAGTAGCTCATGGTTTATATTTTAATTATGCTTTCCGTTGAGTACGGTGTTTGTTATTAATTTTCACAGCTTAACCTTCTTCCTCTTCCACATTCTTTAAATGCGTGTCACGTTCTTCCACATTAAAAAAGAAGTTACTGATACGCTGTGCTGTGCATTAGAAGGTTTTATGTCACATAATCTTCTTATTTACTTCCATGCTAGAAGGCAGATATTGTCTTTGTGAATGGATTAGCGATGATTTCTCTTAAAACAAAAGCAAATGTAGCTGCTTTTCGAAAATATTACACTATGTAAAGATTATTGGCTAAAGTCTGTAGGACACGAATGTTGGTTTATATAATGTGGTTGTTACCAACCGGTGGCACTTGAGCTGATATTCTTCAGTAATTCCCAGCATGCTCTGCCAGCATATTACCCAGTCTAATATGTGTAAACGTTGGACGTCTGCTTTTTTATGTTGAGTTGAACATCGATGAATAAAGAACTAGCTTGATGGTCCTTACGATTGATATGTCCTGGCTGCTTTGTGCAGTTTCTGTCACTGTCTTTTCATAAAATGTACAAGTGGTGTCATGAAGTGTTTCACACATCTAGTTGTGCCTTGTCTTCACAGGCTATTAATGAAGACGTACTAGCAGCCTTTCTGTGCACTGTTTGTTCTATTCAATATGTCTCTGTGGTCTTGTAGATGGAATGAAGAAAGCATGGTGTGGAAGTGATACAGGGATTAAT